CATGTCCTTGTGCTTGCCAGGCAGGTGCTTTGACCACCAAGCTATCTCTCCAGCCTACAGTTGAATTGACTGAGACCATGCCTGGATGGCGATGGTGAGTCAGCATCACCAAAATTCAAAAGCTACCGAATGCATGAAGCCACAGCTGTGTGTGGTCACGGGCTGACAAGTCCTTAGTTCATCGAGACGTCTTATCTAAGAGGAATGAGTGGGTAAGTTTAGAGTTTATGGCCCTGAAGTAAGAGCCAGATGCCTGTTTAAGTTTCAAGTCTAGAAACCCGCCTGTTATGGGCCTGGAGCGAGAGGAGGGACACCTGTCTGGTGGGCTGAAGGTTTCACGGAGGATGGTAGATTAAGCGACTGCTATTGGAGGGCGATAGACATATTGAGAAGGACTTTCTTGATTTGATGTGCTACTGTCTGATAACAGAATGGATGTCTTATATAAGATCAAAAGTTTTTTTGGAGTACAGTATTCATATTTTAATTTGTAATTAGATTTAAATGTGTTAATGTCTTAGTTTATAGTACTTGCTTATAGGCATGGGGTTGGGAACTTAATGTTGAGTAAACGTATAATGGTTTATGCCGTGTTATACATTTATGTACTCTTGCATATTCTAATCTCACCTCAGTTAGAAAGGTTCTTTTTTTTAAATATTTATGTTTATTTATTTATTGTGTGTGTGTGTGTGTGTGGCCAGCTCAGCCCACCAGGGGGCGGGGCTGGCTGGCATGTGGTGCTGGGGGATTGAACCGCGGTCCCTGTGCTTTGCTTAGCTTAGTTTGTTCTAAGTAGGTGCTTTAGACCACTGAGCCATCTCACCAGCCCTAGAAAGGTTCTTATAAAAAGGATAAAAGATAATAAATGCAGAAGAGGATGCAGAGACAGGCAAAGTCTCATACCGGGTTGGTGGGAATGTAAATTAGTGAAGCCATCATGAAAAACAGTAAGTGGAGACTCTTTAGAAACTAGAAGGATGACTTCTCTATGACCTAGCGAACAGCGAACCCCTCATGAGTTTCTATTTAAAAGAACTGAAATTACTGTGTTGAAGAGACATCTACACTTCCATGCTTACTGCAGCACTAGTCCCAGGGGTCAAGATAGGGAGAGCTGAGGTGTAGCCGAGTAACAGAACAAACACTTGCTGTTATGGTTTGTGTCTAGTTGTCCCCCCAAAGCCTCATGCAGTCATGGGGTGAGGACTTCTAGAGTTTGTGTTAACTCATAATCCCCTGGGATTATGTGTGATCCAAGGCTGGGATTATGGGTCTTAGTACTGCTGGGATTACCCATAGGTGGGTAAATACTGGGAAGTACCTATAGGTGTGAGTACTTCCCCTACCCTGGGGCAGGTAATTTGCATTACAATGTAAGGTGGGAAGAGAAGCCAGCGGCTTGAGCTGCTGCTACTTCTCCCTTGCTCTCTTACTCTTTGCCACCGCCATGAAAGGTTGCTTTCTGCCCTGTGCTGCTCTGCGTTGGACCCAGCTGAGTATGGACTGAAACCTCCAGTAACTGTGAGCTAAATAAACCTTTCCTTCCTTCATTTTGAGTGTCGGGTATTTGTCCCAGCAACGAGAGAAGAGTAACTAAGACACTTGCCTATTTTATGTAGGGCCTGAGTTAACCCCCAGTACCACAAACCACCACTACCACCGCCGCCAACACCACCACCACCAAAGATAAACATCCATCAGTGGATGAGCGGATAATGAAGAACGTGGCACATGCAGGAAGGTGTCTTAGCTACTTTTCTCATTGCTGAAACAAAACGCCCAATACCCATAGTGAAAGGAGGCAAGGTATACTGAAGCTCACAGTCTGTAGAGGTTTCAGCTCATAGTTGGCTGGCCCCAAGGTGGGGTGGCATGGCAGAGGGGTGTCACAAGGAGAAACAGCTCATGGCAGGCACAAGGCAGCAAAGCAGCAAAGGAGTAGCGAGCGACAAGTGATGGCAGCAGCCCTTTCTGTTTCTTGTATTCCAACCAGCTACACACCTCCTGCAGGTAGCACTCACACCCAGGGCAGGCCTTGCCCTTATCCATGCTCAGAACTAGGCCAGACCAACTAGTGGCTGAATTTAGTGACTGCACACCCTATGTGTCAGCATCACACACTTAATCCCAGCATCATGCCCTGTAGATCCACCCACCTATGGCCACAGGAGGCTTTCGCATCTAGACACAAGGCAAAGCAGTAAGCAAATACTGCTCATTCACAGAAAGAACGCAGTGCTACCACTTGGGGCACCCCGGATGGAAATGGGGGACATTCTGTCAGGTAAAATAAGTCAGGCACAGAAAGACAAATACTACATGTTTTCCTTTAGATGTGGAAGCTAGAATGTTGATCTAAAAAGGAGAATAGAATAGCAGGCACCAGAGAGGATGGTTAATGGTTTTCAAGGTGCATTTGGATTGGAGAGATACTGCATTCTGTGGTACTGGGAACTGAATCCAGGACTTTCTGTTCAGGTACATCCGGGCCTTTAAAAAAATTTCTGTCTCACTAAATCGTTAAGTTGCCCATGCTGGACTTGAACTTGTGATTCTCCTGCCTCAGCCACCCAGGCTGCTGGGATTATAGGTGTGGGCCACTACATCCAGCTAGGAGGGATAACTTGAAATGCTCTATAGTACTACAGGGTGATTATCATCAACAGCAATTAAATATCAAATATTAAATATAAATATTAATATTACATATTAATCAGATATCAAAATATCTAGCAGAGTAGATAAGGGATGTTCACAACAAAGTTGTTAGGTATGCTGAAATCATTACACAGTGTGTACATGTATGGAATGACACGGTACCTCATAAAATGTGCAATTACTATGCATCAGTTACGGACAATGTTTTCTTGCAAAAAGAGACAGAGAGTTATGCTTTGAGCTGGAGGTGGGTGGGAAACATCGGGGGTTTAGAGGGACCCTTTCTGCAGTGTCCCCCATTCCACCTTTAGTCTGGAACTGGTGAAACCCTCAACCTTGAGGATAAGCTGAGGTTATTTCCATGTCTGTCCAGCAGGGGGAGTCATGCCTTCAGGAACTTTTCAAAATTCTAACTGCAGAAGGGGCAGAGTCAAGAAGCCTCAGCTGGCTGGATGGGGAGTGGACTTGTGGACACCAGGAAGACATGCCACTGCAGAGAGGCCCTGGTTGAAGTACGATGCTTGATCACACTGTCTTGGTGTTAGAAAAGTTGCACACACATCCCGGTACTCTGGGGAGCTGAGGCAGGATGATGGCGAGCAAGTTCAAGGCCAGCCTGGACACCTTCATGAGACCCTGTATCAGAACAGACAGGGGGTTGGCCAGATAGCTCAGCAGACTGAGTGCCTGCTTTGGCAAGCGCAGGGACCAGGTGGTCCCACGTGCTGTGCTGGTCCCATCCCTGGGGCGTGCTGAGCCTGCATGGTGGCACACACCTGTGATCCCAGCGTTGTGGAGGGTGAAAACAGGAGGATCACCATGAGTCTGATCTGTGTAGTGAGACCCTGTATCAAATACACAAATGAAAAAAAAATTCTTTCCCAATTATTTAAGAGTAAGAAGAGTTACAGAATAATTTAACAGTGGGGCCTGATCAGGAGAGACAAGGAGTGCGCAGTGATCTGAGTCGACTTCCCAGCTCTCTACCCAGGGTCACTGCCCTATTTGCCCCAAGTCCAGAAAACTCACACAACACAGTCCTGGGGGAGCAGGGCTTGTCCTGAGAGGCAGGCCTGGCCCAGGGGTGGGGTAGTCTGGCCTAACATTACTCAGCACTGCCCTAAACCAGGATTTCAGCAGGCAGAAAGCTGCCCCCCCACCCCATGATCTCTGAGTCCTGGCCTCTGCATTCCCAGAACTCGGTTCTGCTGTATTTCAGGGTCACAGTGACCAGACATCCCGGCCCAGGCGGAGGCTGGGAGTTGAGCTCTGGATGGGGGAGCAGTGTGAACCAATGATGACCTTGGCCCTCCCCAAGGTCAGCTCCTCTGCCAAGGTGCTCTCTTCCTGCTGGCAGTGCCATCTGGGCTCCCAGATCCTCACCTGTGTCCTTTGTGGTGCAAAATGGGAGGACAGGAGGACAAACAAGGGGGGGCGGAGCAGGTGGAGGCTGTGAGGGGGTTGGGATCGGTGGGGTGGCCCCCAGCTTGGAAGATGAGGGGCCCACGTTGGCATGGGTCTGGCCTTACTGCCCTGTGGCAGGAGCCCCTGGGACACAGGTGAGGCCCTCAGTGTGCTTGGTGGGCCTCTGTGCTGGGGTCCCTAAGACAGAGCAGGGCCGACTGGCCCTGGTGTTTGTCCTCCTATCCTGGAGAAGTGAGCCACAGTCCCTGGTGGGCGGGGCCTTCATGGTGCTGTCTGCCCTTCCCGCCCCGGGAACCCCTTCTCCTGGATCTGGCTCTCGAGCTGTCTGTAGAGCCTGGCCTCTGCTTCTCCAGGTGTGTTGCCCCCTGGGACATGGGGTGACAACTGGTCCTGGATCTCCTGCTGTTGGCACAGGTGGCTGGGTCAGCCTGTCCCGTGATCCTGATCCAGGTGTGGAAGGCTTGGGTAATGGCGCCATCGGTCACCTTGACCCCGTCCCCCATCCTCTCGGGCAGAAGGGAGGACGACTGATATATATATATATTTCCTTTTGTGGCACTGAGGACTGAACGCAGAGTTCCTCCCGCAGCTGGCTCTCATCTGGTCTGACTCTGAAGTCCGCACCCAGTCTGTCCGCAGCCTGTTGCAGCCTCCGCATCCGACTGCTGTAGGCTTCCAGTCCACTCCCCACTCCCACTCCCGGCTCAGACTCCAGAGCGCGCGCCCCGCCGCCGGGGCGGCCGGGACCTGCCAAGCTGCGGGGGCGGCCGGGAACTGCCAAGCTGCTCCGGGATCGGAACTAGCGCGGCAAGACCATCTCAAGAGCTGGGGGCGTGGCCTGGAGGTATTGGGGCGTGGCTAGGGCGGGACGGAAGGATGGGCGCGTTAGGGCGTGGCTTAGCCAGGCACCTCCCCTCTCCCGTCCCATCTCTGCACCGCACGCCCTTAGACTCGCAGACCGCCGAGCCATGGAGATGCGGTCTGGGCGGCCCCAGCTGTTCTGGCTGCTGCTGCTCTGCGGTAAGGGGGCGTCGGCCCGGAGCTCCGCGAGCCCTGTCCGCGCCTTCCCCTGAGCTGGGGAGGGGCGCGCGGTGATGCGGTCCTTGGCCACCCCGGGCCGGGGAGCGGAAGGGAAAGCAGGGATTGCAGTGGCTGCGAGGATGCGTGTCTGCCGCGGAAGCCCGGGGTCTGCGGTCCCATCCCTCCCCGGGGAGCGGTCTGAGGAGGGCTGAGCGCTCAGTCCTGGCCAGGAGCACGTGCACACTGCGCAGGCGTCGGTGGGGGGCACCCCGGAGTGGGTGGCCTTGGGCTTTCTGAGCCCTGAGGGAGAAACATTGTTCCCAAAACGGGAAAAGCTTGTTTGAAAATCCAAGAATAAGAGGCTGCGTGGATGCGCACACGTGCTCATGTATGTGGACGTGTGTACTTGTGTGTGCGGCGTGTGTGTAAGGGCTTTTACAGGAGCTAGCTTGCCAAGGGCTGGGGGTTGCCGGACGCCAGGTCCTGGCCGGTTCTGGGCTCTGTCCTGGTGATGGAGAGCCTCTGGCTGGGTATCAGAGACTCAGGGTCTGTCCTTCGGGGCCACTGTGCTGTGGTCCTGCAGGATGGGTTCTCTGCCGGCCCCAGCCTCCCTGGCTGCAAGCTTGTGCATGCAGTTTCTTCCTCAGCTCTAAAGACTTGGGATTCAGTAAACAAGGCAGGAAAGCTGGGCTGTACTTGGTGGTGACACCCCTTCCTTTGCGTGGGCCTCTGGAGGAGCTTGACTTTACGTCATGTTTTCCTGGGCAGAGCGCAGCTTTACGTCATGTTTCAGGTGGGGAGGGTTTTTAGGACGCATGACTGAAGCAGAAATCACTGCAGCAAGCGCCTCCTATAAAGGTCCCTTTGACAGGCTGTGGCTCCTTCATGGCTGAAGAGCTTGGGTCCCTGCTGAAGGTGCTGGCACTCCCATGACTGCCCCAGCGTGGGGGAGGGAAGGACCACAGGCAGAAGCTGCAGAGAACCCTCCTCCTGTTGCTGCATTGTCCACACAGCCGCTGCGGCCATCTCCTTGTCCCGTTTTGTGGTCCTCATTGTTCCCCCACTCAGGATCTGAGCTCTCTAGTAGGGGTCAGCTGCAGTCTCCCACAGACCTGCTTGGGTTGGCTTGGCCAGAGCAAGAGTCATAGAAGCTCACCGTCACATGCAGTTTGCAGAGCAGCATTGAACTGGGTCTGCCCTCTGGAAAAGGAAGAGCTAAGCTGCCCAGCTCCCAGGAATGGTGGCCATCTGTGCTGTGGGTCCCCAGCCTGTAAAATGGGGGTCTGGCTGCTGCGGGGTCAATAGCAGTGGTTCCTCCTGACCAGCCCTGAGGACCAGTTCCTACCCAGGAGGGTGTGTGTGTGTGTGTGTGTGTGTGTGTGTGTGTGTTGACTCCAGCAGGTGTCCACTCAGTAAGAAGCTGTCAGTGGGCCCAGGTCTTGCCTGGATCATTTGGTCTGAGTGAGAATCCCCGGGATCTTAAGATCAGCAAGATACAGCCTCCTGCCTCAATTTCCCCGACTGTAGTGTAGGTGCAGCTCTAGCCATCTGTGGAGGGCTGCTGTGATGGTCAATGTGATTGACTTTGCTCCATCCCTACCACATGTCACTGGGCATGGGACTGTGGGGAGAAAGGGCTCATGGGTAAGTTGGCATATGTGTGTGGCAGGTGTGCTGCTCAAGGGCTTGTGCACAGCACCCCCTGCATGGGTGCCCTGAGTGTGAAAAGATGCCATCATTTTGACCATGAGTGGAAGTAGTGGTGCCCTGCCACTGGGCCACCTGTGGTAACACTGATCACTGATGTTGTTGTCCTGTTGGTCACCAGTGGGATCAAAGGCAAGACAGACTGGCGAGTAGCTCTGGGGACCTAGAGTCCAGAAGTCAGTGGCTTGTCAAGTGCAGGGCCATGGGTTTTTAGCACTGAAGTTGCCTTGTAGATTGTCTGGCCGTATTTGTCATTTTACACATAAGGAAACTGAGGCAGAGGGCCAAGGAGGGGAATTGCACAGGGGGAAGGGACCCACTGTGGCCCACGGCAGGGACCCATCGTGCTGGGTCTGGTGGCTGTTCTTTTCCTTCCAGAAGAATGAGGCACTTGGGTTTCATGTTGATGTGACAGTCACTGAAGATCTTTTGAGAATGGATATTTGGCATGCATTTGGATGGATGTTTATCATCTCCGAGTATGTGGAAGTCCCGAGGACAAAAAGACAGGCACGCCTGTTTGTTCTTTGTTTCCTGGCAGAACTAGCCAAAATGGCTTTCTATTTCGATTCAGTTCCTAAGAACGTCACAGATGCAGCCAGAAGCTTGGGTGGCCGTGACCAACCACTGTCTGGTGTTCTGGGGCTGTGTCTTCTTCACCCTGTTGCTGTTACCTGGCTAGTTCCACAGCGTGTGCCCTGCACCAGCCTCGGGCATCATCACAGCCCCTTGGTCAGGAACGCTGCACACAAGACCTGGTGTGTGGCCCCAATGGCACAGCCACCACTGCCTGGGCAGGCTGTCGCCGCACTGGGGATGCAGGATTCAAGGCACTGGGGACACAGAAATTCTGGGGGACACAAATTCCAGGTTTTGGGGAGGTGCCTAGGGATGCAGGGCTCAGCATGACAGGCTTGTCGTGAGGGGTCGCCGGTCCTCTTTCGGTAGCCATGGCAGAGGGTCCTCCCTGACAATGGGGTGGAGGGCATCAGTGTTACTGTGGGTCAGCTACCTGCATGGGAGGCCAAGGGCTCAGAGGAAGTAATGGTTCTAGTGCGGGGTGTGTGTGTGTGTGTGTGTGTGTGTGTGTGTGTCTGGGACTTACAGGACCTTGTCCCAGGGTGCTGTTTAGGAATATCACAGTTAATGTGAAGATGTGTCAGATGTATCACATGGGGAGATGGGGAGATGGGACCTCTACGATGACAGATACCTCTTGGGGTTGGGGCCTGTACCTGCGTCACTCACGCTGTGTGTCCCACATGGACCAGGGCTGCCCTCCTGCCATCAGGGGAGGTGTGGCCAACCAGGGCCCTCAGATCAGATGCCTAGAGTTTGTTCTTTTGCAACCATCCTTGCCAGAGCTTAGGACCTCTCTGGTACTCTTGAGCGCAGATAGTCTGACAGGCCACCGGGGAGGAGTGGCACTGATTGGAAAGCAAGCCTTCTTAGGGTTGTGCCCTGAGCAGGCAGCTGGTGGGTGACTGGTGCTCAGTTGTACGTTGCACACCAGCCGCTGGCTCCGAGTGTGGTGAGGCACCCGTATTCCTTGGCCATGAAGTGTGTGGATAGGGAGTTTTCACGAGGGCTGCAGTCCTGGTACCTGCCTGCAGGTGGCGCTCGGCTCTGCCTCTGCTGGGCTCGTCCACCCTCATTTTGAGCCCGGATACAATTTGGGTTTCTTTGGAGAGCCAGGTCAGGTGAACTTGGCTGCAGGCCAGCCTGCACTGTGACTCGCAGGTCCTCCGCCCTGCCTGTGTCCACCTGCGTGTCCTCCTGCTGCTAAGGGTGTGGTCATCTCTGGTTGAATGTCCATTTACCCAGTACCTTTCATGGGGGCTTTAATGTCATCTGCTTTTTGATGCCCCCGGCAGACCCCTGGCTCTGGGCTCCTGTCTATCTAGTCTGTGGCTTGTAAGTTCCTTGCCATTGTCGTCTTGATGATTTGGTGATTTCATTCTTTGCATTTTGTCTCGGGTTTTCAGTAGAAAGTAGGTCCATGTTTCTGCCTAATGCCTGGACATAGATGTAGATCTACTTGTCTCCTCTATGCCTGTATAGTGAGGCTTCTATATGCTTCAAAAAAATCCTGTACTTGGCTGGATGTGGTGGTGCACACCTGTCCTCCCAGCACTCTGGGAGATTGAGGCAGGACTGCACGTTTGAGCCCAGCTTGGGCAACTGAGTGAGACCCTGTCTTAAAATAAAAAAGGGGCTGCAGCGTGGTGTGAAGGCCCTGGGTTTAATGCCTGCTACTGCAAGGAAAATGAAAAAAGAAAAAATAAGTCTTTTTTACTACCTTTCTTTTTCTTTTTCTTTTTTTGTATTTTAGGGAAGGGACTACAAGGTGTTCAGGGTCTCACTACTAGATCAGACTTGTAGTGATCCGCCTACAGGATTACAGGCACACGCCACTATGCCTAGTCTCAATTGCTGGCTCAGAGTGCCTCAGAAGTGGGGCCAGCATGGTAGGCCAGGGATCAAACCCCTGACCCCTGTACCTACTTGCAGGCACTTTAATCCACTGAGCTATTTGGCTGGCCCAAGACATCTTTTTATACCAGCTGCAGGTGGCAGCTGTCAGAAGATGTGGGCTGTGAGCAGGTGTCAGGGTCCAGGCTGCCACTGAGAACTTGTGGGGTGTTGAGTATGTGATGTGGCCTCAGTGGCCTTGTTTCTGTGGAGGGAAGGGTACGCACCTTGCAGTGGCTGTGAGGGTTCCCAGTGGGCTGCGCTCTGGTGCCAAGGGGCCCAGTGTTGATGAGCCCTGCTGGACAGTGCCAACTGTTCCGCTCCCACCCTCGCAAGGACACTGGCCCGGGGTCTTGATGACGCCAGGTCTCTGTGTCACTGGGTGGTGAAGAGGCAGATCTGTCCTGTCCCCGGGGGTACAGGAGGGTTGGGATGAGGGAGGACCTGTGGGCCTGCGAGGGGACATCAGCCAGAGGTATTGCTGAGGTCCTGCTTGCAGAGGCGCCCTGGCCACCTCCTGACTGTCCCTTCCACAGACGCCTGTGCCCACGTGTGTGGCTGCAATGAGACCCGGATGCTGGAGAGGCTGCCCCGGTGCGGGAAGACCTTTGCTGAGAGGATGCGCGATGTGGCCGTCTGGAAGTGGTGCGACCTGTCCCAGTTCATCGTGTGAGTGCCCTGCTGCCCGCCACACTGCCCGCCCTGCTGCCCACACTCTACCTGTCTTCTGGGTCTTCCTCAGGGTCCGTCTGGGCCTTACTCAGAGCTCTGGGGATAGTTGTTGTGAGGGCCATCCTGGGCAGCAAGGACTTGGAGACATGGAGGGTCACAGCGTGTGGCTGCCCTCATTGGCTTCCCACGCCAAAGCTTTTTTGTGGGTGCCCAGAGGCTCCCCAGCCTCAGATCTGCTGATAGGAGAAGGTGGGTGGGCCATGAGGTCTGCGGCTCTGTGGAACAAATGAGTGAGGGAGGGGTTTGCTTCAGGTCCGGCTGCCAAGGTGCCCTCAGGCCTTGGCACATGCAGGGACCCAGGAGCAGTCCCGGGTCTGGAGTCCAGAGTCCAGAGTCCTGTGCTTCCAGCTCTGCTCACCCAGGTCACCTGGGCAGGACAGGTGTGTCTGACCTGTGTCTTGGTGTCTGCTGACTGCCAGCCTCAGACAGCTCAGAGGCATGGGACCCTGCCGGCAGGTGGACAAGAGGGCCCTGGGCTGGCTGCTGTGTCCCTGCCCTCTTCCAGCCTTGGGGAGTACAGGCTGTGGAGTGTGCCGGTGAGAAGCTCCACGCAGGAAGCTTTTCCTTCTGGGTCAGCCACCCCTTCCCAGGACAGCCCAGGAGCTGCTGGCTCTTGGCAGGTGTCCCCCAGGTGCCTGGCAAGCATCTTAGGTGGGGGCTAAGGCCCTGCCTCATGATCCCAAGGGATAGGGAGCTCACCACCTCTACAAGCTGGCCCAGCCAGGCATGGCGAGGTCCTCAGAGATGCATGGCCGAGCTCTGAGCTCCGGCAGCTGGCGACCTTGGCAGCCTCGAGAACCATCCAAGGCCACTTCTGGGCAGACAAGGCCAATACTGGAGGTCCTGCTGTGATCATAAACAGGGGACCGCCCCCCAAGGGAGGCAATCTCCCCGTGGGAGTCAGAGAAAGGGGGGCATTGGGGCTTCCAGCTCTGATCTCCCTTCCACCTGGCCCACAAGAGCAGACCAACTGAGATGTTTGGAAGAAACCTGGCCTCAGAAAGACCCTCCTCTCAGGTCCTTAGAGTGTCCCTGGATTGTGACCCCCTGGAGGGACAAGTGGCCATCACCAGGTCCCCATGTGCCTTTGGCCCTGGTCATGCAGGGCATTCTGGGAGATCGTGCTCTCGAAGTCACCGTCGCAGATAGGGTAGGACACCCACGTGGCCAGGAGTGTGGACATGACTTCCAAGGTCATGTTCCCAGTAGGTAGCTGGGGGCTCGGGCCCACAGCGTGCCCTGCCTGTCCTCTTGCCTGATGAGGAGTCACCTTCTGCCTCTGCAGGTTCTATGAGAGCTTTACCAACTGTACCGAGGAGGAGACCATCGTCGTGGGCTGCTACTGGCCCAACCCACTGGCCCAGGGCTTCATCACCGGTGTTCACCGGCAGTTCTTCTCCAACTGCACGGTGAACAGGGCCCACTGGGAGGACCCGCCCGATGAGGTGCTCATCCCGCTGATCGCGGTGCCCGTCCTGCTGACCGTGGCCATGGCTGGCTTGGTGGTGTGGCGCAGCAAACGGGCGGACCAGTTGCTGTGAGCGCGGGCCGGGCCTGCTGGAGCTCTCAACGTCATTGCCATCATCGTCAAGGCTGATACCCTTCTTCCCAGGTTGGCGCTGTCCCTGGTGGCAGCTGGCTGGGACTTCATGCTTGCCCTCGTGTCAGAGCTTGTGTGCCAAGCATTGCATCTCACACCGTCTGCTGCTGAGCCTTGTGGTCCCTGTGCTGGAGAGGGTGGGCGAGGGCCCTGGGTGAAGGACGGGCCAGGAGCCCCCGAGCCCCGAGCGATCTGCCTCTCTGCTCCCTCACTGCCTGGGCTGGCATAGGGAAGCCAGCCCCTCACAGGGCCTCCTTCCTGGGGTACTTGAGAGCCTGTGGTCCTGCGCTGTGTCTGCTGCCAGCTGTCCTTTCTCTGAGTAAAGAGTCTGTGTCCATACCTTCACCGTGCCTTGTTTTATTTCAGGGTAGGCAGAGTGAGTTGCTGCTCTTGGGGACTGAAGAGTCTGCTATATCCATGTGATAAGTGGGGAGTCCCAGAGGCCCCAGAGCTCCAAGATGTCACATTCAGAGACTGAGAGAACTGGCACTCAGGGAAGCGTTGTCCCACAGGAGAGGGCTTTGCCTGTGGTTGCAGCCCTGTCTTGCTCCTCCATGTCCTCTTTGAGGCCACCTGGGACTTTGGGGAGTGCAGTACCTGGCTCGGTCCTGTGGGGTGGGCACATGCTGGTCCTGAGATGGGGATGCATGAGTGTCCCAGAGTGCTGGGAGGGCCCGTGTGGCTTCTCAATGTTAGGTGCAAACCATAACAAAGAATAAGCCATTTAAAGTCTCTGGAAGTTGACCTGCGGCCACGCAGCCAACGAAGAAACATTTATTAAAGAAAATGGGCCAATCTAAAAGACAGATGCTAGCACTTGAGCCATGGCCCGTGCAAGCCCCAGAAGTCACGATCCTCACCCCCCAGGTCCCAGTCGCAGGAGGGTGGGCGGCCAGCGTGTTCACCCCAGCCTGGTCATTCCCTGAAGGATTGTCAGTTTCCCGAAGGTCCCTCAGAGGGAGGGGGTGCTTGGCCTTGGCCCTGTGGCTGTCGATGCTCAGCAGGCGGAGGGCTATTACCACACAGGCTTGTTGAGAGGAGGCCCCCCGGGCCTGCTGGATGGAGGGAGAATGGTCAGAGGGGGTGGGCCAGAGCTGGGTGGGCAGAGCTGTGTGAATGGAGGTAGGTGGGCTGGAGGGTGCAGAGCAGGAGGCGCTGGTGGTGAGGATATGACCAGGTTACCAGCTGCACAGTGCGCAAGCACATGGTCTTAGAAGGAAGAACTGTTCCTTCTTCACAGGGGGAGGGGAGAAGAGGTTGGGGTTGGGGGCATCTTTACACCACCTTCCACGGGGATGCGTGAGCCCTTGACAAAGAAGACAGTGCTGGGGTAGAGGCCTTTCCTGCATGGTCCTCACACCAGAAACTGGCCAGCTGCCCCACCCGACAGGCATTTCTGACTCCCAGTGTCCTCCCTGTGGCACTGCCAGGTGCCTCAAGCTGGGTCAGCTGCTTCCCTTGGTGGCATCTGCTGTCATGCATACAGCGAGAACTTCAGGGCTGAGACTCCATGTCAGTGCTGCTGTTCCCAAGAGCAGATAAAGCCTGGGACTAGGTAGCAAAAACAGGGACTGGTTGTTCATAGGGTCCCCTCCCCAGCGCCCAAGCTCAGGGTCCTGTTGAGGTGACATTCCTGGAGGCCAGCTCTCTAGGCCGAAGCCTGACCACAGGAACATAGGGCTCTGCAGCCACAATCACCCCCCAGAAATCTGCTGCCCAAGGCTATCCAGAGGGTTCCCCCATAAGTGGTTACCAAGGAAACAAGGTTGAGGCCAGAGCTCGGTGGAAACAACTTCTTGTTCTTTTATTTAAAAATCAAATTCAGTTAAAATAGGATTTGCTTATTTCGAACGTTGCCGAAAGAAACCAGGGCGCGCAAGGTGACCGGTTAGGGCTGGAAGCGGACAGAGGCATGGCTCCTAGTGGGAAGGGTTCCTGGAGGATTCCAGTGTTAATTAAGGAACTGTGTTGAAGATGGAGATGGCAGAGAAGGACCCGTCTAGCGTCTGATGTCCCTGGTGCCAAGATTTTCCCATCCTGGTTCCATGTGACCCGTCCTGTTGAGGTTCCCCCCACCACCCTAAGCTGTGTTGTGAGGGAGCTGTGACTGGGCTGCTTGGCACACCTGGTCTCACAGTGGATTGGTGAGGGTCTTGGGCAACCCCAGGTGACACCCTCCTCCTGCTGGCCTTTCCCGTGGCAGTTGTGTCTACCCTGGAGCTCTGGGTGTCCGCGGTGGGGAGGTCACACCAGGTTGGCAGGGCGCACGCTGGGCGTGGGTGTGCTTGTCGGCGATCAGACTTCCTGACCGTGGCTAGGATAAGGCATGGAAGGCTGGATCAGAAACGGAAGGAGCGCCGGGCCCTGCTCCCACTGGATCGCAGGTATTGTTCCCAATTCCTTTAGGGTCCCTTCACTTGGCTCGGGAAAGGCCAGCTGGACATCACGAAGGCTCCCAGCGGCTCTCAGCCCTTGGTGCTGCAGCTTGGGACAGAGACCCTCTAGTCCGCTGGTTTCCGAGCCTCCCTACCTACCCCTCAGCAGTCAAGGTTTGACCCCGTCCTGGCTGGCGCATGATGCCCACCCTCCCGTTTCACCTTATCTCTTCAGATCCCTGCTTTCTGCCTATCTCTGGAGCTCTTCAGTGTTACCAGCCCCTAGTGTTACAGCTCCCTAGATTAAAACCTGCTCAGCCTGCAGCCCCTGGGACGTCCAGGAACAGACCCACGCTTACCCACGAACAAACCACACCACATCAACCTGACAAGCTGGCAGGGGAGCCACTTATATGCGGCGGCAGCAGGCCCATGATTGGTTCCAATTTGAGCCCGCCGATTGGCTCAATAGTTAGTCCAAATTTGAGCTTGCTGATTGGTCCACATTTGAGTCCGCTGATTGGTTCAAATTTAAGTCTGCTGATTGGTCCAAATTGGCCCAAATTCAAACCTTTAGCTTAGTACAGATTCAAGCCAGCTTTGATCATGGATACAGGTGTCCAGGACAGCAGTTTTGTAGCTGCAGAGTGTCCCCCTTTCTGGCTGTCAGCGAACAAAGGGACAGGTTGGGCTATTTTTAATCTCAGTGGCACCGACGCGATTGTGTACCTTACCTTTGGTGCTGCGTCCCTAACCCAGGCTAATTTTCCTCCCCCTTTTGCAGTCCTGGGAATCGAACCCAGGGTCCTTACCACTGAGCCACACAGCCCTGCTCCGGGTTTCTGCTGGAATCTCCTGCGCCCCTCGGGGCTCTGCTGGGAGCTCCTCAAGCTCTTCCCTGGGGCTGGGCTGGCGAGGGCTGCCCTCCTCCTACACTCTTCCTCCCGCAGCCGTTCCGCCCCACCCAGCGGTCCTCAAGGATTTGCCGGGAGCCAACTTGAGTCAATGCTGCTGGCTCCTGCTGGAGAGAAAGCTACTCCTCCGGCTTGAGCGTCGCCCGTCCACTAGTCCGTATGCTTTTGTTTCTAGGCATTTTGTGTCTAAGCCCTCAAGGCTGTGAAAGGGCCTCTGTGCCGCAGCTGGAGGGGAACAATGCGGCTGGGAAACAGACGCACCACGGCTTTGAACGCGAAGGGTCGCCTTCGGCAAAGCCTCTTTGTCACCGGCATTTGCTTTCTCCTGAGCAGTGTTTGAATTTAGCAGAAGTTAGGCCTGAGCACGGAGACGGCAGCGAAGTAGATGTCTCGGTTAATTGGCCCCGATTAAACTGTGGGAACCATGGGGAGCCCCACCGAGCGCCCCCCGTGGAGCCTCAGGACAGAACCAGGCCAATTCCAGAGAGGTTGGTGGGGAGGAGTGTCAGGGAGGCCTGGATTGGGCTCTGCTCTGTGCCCCTGTGCCCGCGGAAGGTGAGGTGTTTCAGCTAGGCTTAGGGGGTGGGGCTGGGGTTCACAGAGAAGCACCTGTGTTACATTTCGGGGCTCCAAAGGCTGAGTGGGAGGCGGCTGAGCCATGAGACACCACCCAGTTCAGATCTCTGGGGGTTGGAGCATACCTCGTGCAGAAATGGAGAGACCACCTGAAGGCACACGGGGAGCAGGAATGTACAAATACCACAAGTGGGATAAATACCATACAGGCTTTAAACAGCAGGTAGCAAGCTCCATATATGTCTATCCATCTTCCCACAAATATTCATTCTTTTTGCCTATGGATGGGGAATTGGGCAAAGTTGAAGTGACACTCCTTACTTTCCTAAATTAAAAGGCAAAGGAGCCTGGGTGTGGAGCAAGCCTGTAATCCCAGCACTTGGGAGGCTGAAGCAGGAGGATTGCCTTGAGTTTGAGGCCAGCCTGGGCTACATGAGCAAGTTTAAGGCCAGCCTACAGGACATAGCAAGACCCTGTCTAAAAAAATAAAAACAAAAACAAAACAGCCAGGCACAGTGGCACAGGCCTGTAATCCTAGTACTCCGAGAGGCTGAGGCAGGAGGATTGCACATTTCAGGACAGCCTGGACAACCATGCAAATTAGAAATTAACAACAAAAAACAAAACAAACAAACAGCTAGAACATAACTCAGTGTGAAGGCCCTGGATCCAGTTCCTAAGAATTTTTTTCCTTTGCCGTGTACAAAGGGCAAAAGAGAAACATCTTATGTAGAAATTAAAAAAAAAAAAAATCTCCTTCTTTATAATTTTGGATTCAAGAGGAAATAAGAGGGGGCTGGGGAGTTGGCTCAGTAGAATAAACGCTTCCCTGGCAAGCGCAAGGGCCTGAGTTCATACCCGGTTCCGCAAAAAGGAAAAAGAAAAAAAAAAAAAAAACAAGAGGAAATAAAAGAGCAAAAACTACAAACTACAAATCAATAACAAAACACTCTCCAGATATCAAAATACACTGAGATATGTTTCTACACCCACCAAAACACACACACACACACACACACACACACACACACACACAACAGGGTGAGTGGGGAAATTTACATCCCCTGTGCTTGAAACTAGGCATTTAATGCCATCGGCTGGTAAAAAATAACACAGAAGAACAGAAGGAATAAAGCGTGTTAAGCTAGGTGTGGTGGAGCGAGCCTGTAATCCCAGCACTTGGAGACTGAGGCCCAAGGATCACTGTTAGCTCAAGGCCAGGCCATGGTGAAAGACCAATCTTAAGCAAAACAAAACCCAAACAAACAAAAAAAGAAATAACGCTAAAAGCAAAAATAATGAAGTGGAAAAGAAAGGGAAGATTTGATTAGTGGATATATTTTTTTCAAAAGAACAAACATGAGGTAGAACACCTGAACAGAATAATGACCACAGAAAAAACTGGAAGAGCCAGGAGTGGTGGTACACACCTGTAATCCCAGCACTTGGGAGGAGGCTGCGGCAGGAGGATCATGGTGAG